CTGAATTTTTTAAGAATGTTCTGGCTTCTATTTTTATTTATAATGAACGCAAAGGAAGGCAGAAATTGTCGAGCTTCATAAAGGACACAAAAGCACCATAAGCACCATCTCAAAAGTAGTCTTTTTTTTGTAACTTGAAAGGTGAACTTTAGAACCCTATCAGTTCGATTTGTGAACTGATGCAAATGTCAAGATTATAAGTGAACATTTTATTAGTGACTGTTCCTCATGTAAAGCTATTGTAATGACTTGACAACCTGAAATATAGCACATATAGACCACTTTTATGGTGCTTTTTAGTTATTATGGAGCCTGATAGCCCTCATTCCCTCACATTATATTGAAAAGACTGGCCAAGATATCCTTCAAAAATTGCCTTTTCGTGTTTCACAGAAGAAAGAAAGTCCTAGCGTGAATTTGAGCGCCTGATGATAGAATTTTCCTTTTTGGCGGAACTATCCCTTTAATATATGCGTATTAATATATGCATTAGTGCATGCATGAGGATACAGGCCCACATGTTAAATTCACTCATTGTCACAATCCAGCCTGCAGCTCTTGCACACTATCATTTCACAGCTGAATTACAGGCGTATGTTCCCTCTCCCCAGAGGCATGCTGGGTGCTTGTGTGTTTGTTTTCATTTCATCCATGTCACTGTGTGACTTAATCACCCTCTGCTTTATTTATTCCTTGCTTTTCTCCTCCAACTTCAGAATGAGGAGGAGCTTTTCATATCTGTTGAGAGTAATCTAACAAAAATTGTAATTTTACAAAAAGTTGCTGCACTGAATCCATCAGAATCCGCAGCAGAAGCTCCACTACTGGCCAAGACAAATTATGTAATCAAAGCTACAGGCGCGCAGCTTTGCGTTTATTCATTATTTGACAATTACAGCATCAGTCTCTTAGTCTTTTCCTAGGGGAACCCATGACCCCCCCAAAGTGAGAACCGAAAAGGAACAGCCACATGACCAGCAGCCAGGGAGGGGGCAGGAGGCTCATGAAATATTCAAACCCTGCATTCTTGCACATTATTTTGCCTCATTAATAATGCATGGCTCCTTTAAATGCTATTGCAGAGGGAAACATTCTATAACTTTTGCACAGGCGTGTCAGAATTCGTTTTGTCTGGAATAAGCGGTGAATTAAATTGCAGGAGAGAGCCCACAGATGGTGGGATAGCGGAGGGGAAGTGAGATCAGCTCCTCCAGGTGTACAGAGGTGTGCGGCTTAAAAAAAATTATAAATTATACTGGTCCCTTACGTACCAAGGCAAGTCTCTGTACAGCTGTTGATATTCAGACCTTTTCTAAGATGAGACTCGAGACGGCATCGATACAGTGTAACATTAAATAGCCATGGGACTCTGAAGGATAGCCGAATAGTTCAGGTACTGTCAGGCTGACATTATCAAAGCATAGTTTATTTATTGTGATGGAGAGAGTGAGGTAGGTCCCTGAAATATAGCTTGAATTATTTAGAAACTTTTTGCTTTGCAGTTATTTGATTTTAAGGCCATGCTCTCTTCTGAATGGTCCATTTCATTGGAAGCTGCTCAGTATTTGAGTGTGGAAATGTTTTTCTTCCAAGTCTTACCAATCAAAGAGTGGTACAACCCATTTATTTCAGCTCTGACTAACAAGTCTTGTCAGTGTTATTCTCTTCCTGTCATGAAATAATGATCAGGTTATTGCTAAAGAAATTGTATGTCTTCTTCGCTTTAGAGGTCCTCACCTACCTGCATTAAAGGAATGGCTCACCCGAAAAATGAAAATTTGCTGAAAATGTTCTCGTTCTCAGGCCATCCAAGATGTAGATGAGTTTGTTTCTTTATCAGAATAGATTTGGAGAAATTTAGCCTTATATCACTTGCTCACCAATGGGTCCTATGCAGTGAATGGGTGCCGTCAGAATGAGAGTCCAAACAGCAGATACAAACATTACAATAATCCACAACACGATTGCTGTCCATCATTTAATGTCTTGAAGCAAAAATCTGCACACTTGCAAGAAACAAATCCTTCATTAAGGTATTTTATCTTAAAACTGTTGCTAAAATATGAGTCTATAATCCACAATGACTGCACCAAATTTTCTTTAAAATCCACCAGCATATTTGTTTTGAACTGTTTTGGACTGTTTCCACATGTAAACAGTGCTTGATTTGTGCATATTTCTCTCCTGATTGAAATGAGATGACTTTTTCATTGGAGAAAGCAATGTTATGAATAGAGGAAGCAGTGGTTTGAAGACAAAAATGTCTTAATAATGGATTTGTTTATTACAAACATGCAGCGTTTTGCTTCATAATGCATTCATTGTTGGACTGGCATTGTGTGGATTACTTGTGGATTGTTGTGATGTTTTTATCAGCTGTTTGGATTCTCATTCTGGCGGCACCCATTCGCTGAAGAGGACCCACTGGATTTCTTCAAATCTGCACTGATGAAGAAACAAACTCATTTACATCTTGGATGGCCTGAGATGGAGTAAATTTTCAGCAGATTTTTATTTTTGGATGAACTATCCCTTTAATCAATTAGGAAGGAAATTGCAGTGTTATTTTGAAAGTGTGGTGTTGTACGGTGCACATAGGTATTGTAATTGCAGCATATTCTTTTTTTTTCTTTTTTTTAGATGAACATAATTGGATTTGAGTGGCCCGTGTTTTTTGCCCTGCAAGCGACACTATTGTGCTCACTTGATGCTTTTGGCCTATTTTTAGTCCTGGAAGATGGCGTAAACACACACAATACCAGAGAGGGAAGTAATGATGGATGTGTTGTGCTGATATGTGTCCAGTTCAGTAGACTGAAACTGGACATGGCTGGAGTCGCTCACACTTTTCTCAGGAGAACAAAATGCTCAATGATGTGTGTGTTCACAAACACAGGAACACAACAGGACAACACCAAATATTCATTTTTCTTTCTGTCTTTATACTTATTCTTGTTTGGTTGCAAGTAAAATTACACATGCTAAACTAACACATATTAATCATAAATCATCTTTCTGTCATATTGAATGAAGACAGTGCTCTTTGGGGTATCAAGACCGTTTTTTTACAATGTGGCAGAAAAGATAAAGAGAAAATCAGAATTCAGAAAGAAAAAGAAATAAATCAGAAAGAGGAGAAAATAATTATAATCTCATATTTTTTCATCTTATTCTCATTATATTATTATTATTATTTTGGCTGCATTCATCAAACTTATGAATAATTAAGGTAAAAGTGTCGCATGTTAAAAAAATATGTGAAAAATCCAAGTTTATTATTATCAAACTAATCCTTAATGATCTATCACACTCTCTAACCCAGCTGCAACTATAACGACAATCTTGTTTCTTGCAACCCTCTTTTTTTTATTTAATTGAATTTAATAGATTTTTTATTGTGAAAAAACTGCAAAATATTAAATTAGATTTTTTTTAAACTCTGTTTAGAGATTTTGAAAAATTACACAACCCATACAACATGAATAAAATATATAATATTTTGTTTTATCTCTTGAGGTTGACCATCAACATTTTCTGAAGGTTAAGGTTTATTGTTGGTGTTGAGTTTCCATTGCGTTCCCTCAGTATTTTTGTATTTTATTTATTTTTTGTATTATATATTTTTGTGTGTTTGTATTGCGCAAACTTTTTATGGAACTTTGAGCGCGTCTTCGGAAATCTCACACACTTTGTGTTTGTTTCAGCAGTGTTATAATTATACCCTCCCTTATTGCCCTTTTTCGGCTTCTTTGGTTTCTTTTTTTTTTTTACATGACTGCTGTTTGATTGAAAACACAGCATACAGATTACAGTCTGTATCTTGCCTGAGTTTACTTTACAAATCAAACCTCGTGCTTGATGGTGCAGCTGAGGTTGCTAGGCAACTGTGAGAACCGGGTGACAGCTCATAAAGTCTCTCAACATTCCAGCTCAAAATTCCAAATAGCTCCGCAGGATTATCTCAAAAACATCAAAGAATTATTACCGCCACATACCTATTACACAACTTCAAATGAGGCAACATATTCAAAATCTCATTTGATATATGAGCGCTTTTTCCCTCTTTTGAGGCTGGTACTATAACCATATTCTTCCCAAACTGTGATTCAAAGCATTTGATATATGGGGCCTCGCACAAAAAACATTATACACTTTCTTAATCTTATTTTTGAGATTTTTTAAAAACTTGGTTATGTTTTTCACTTAAAAAGTTTCAACTAGGAAAATTAATCATACCAATGAGCTATTGAACTCAGTCATTTATTTAAAAAGTTAAATATTAATGTGAATATTAACTAATTAAAGTGGAACAATGACATGTAGTCTTCAAATTATTCTTAATCACATTATTGGCATAGTCTTCAGTGCATGATTATTAGACATAATGCGTTAATAGTGATTCAGTGCTGTCTGAGTTTGACTGAGATGCAGGCCTGTAATTAAAATTAACTGTATGGTTTTTCTTTTTTTTCAGGGCTAATGTTCATTTTTGATTGTAGAAGGCTTATTAAAGCTCTTAAAATGATCCAGCCAAGAACATTGAGTGCTTTTTCTTTTTTGTTGTCAATATTGTTGTATAATTTATTGTTAGCAACAAAATAGACAGTGGCAGGTCTATTAGGCTGCATTTACACTAAAAGCTTAATGATCCGATATTTTAACTTTTTCTGTTGTTTGCTAGTTTTGTGATGCCAGTTATGATATAATTATCTGTGTCTGAATTAATACACAATTTTGGACATTTTGACCATTCAACCTTCATTCGAAAGCAGCCATCTATTTGGTTTCTGGAAGATTAGTTAATTAAGTAACTTAAATTAACTTAGCTTAATAAAATAATGAAATAAAATCATATTTGAAGTACTGGAAATTTTGATATTCCTAATATGTTTCAAATGTTATAAAACAAATGGTTTCATTTTAAATAGAAGCCGTTTGAATAGCGGTAATGTTGACCAAAGATCTGAAGTTTTCTGTATTCTGTGCTGCTTTACATTTAGGCTGGAAAAAGAAAAGTCCCAGGCGCATGTTCAGGCACAGGCAGAAGCTCAAGCCCAGGTAAAGGACGAGGTGAGCAGGATCCTCGCATTAGAGAAAGAGCAGAGCATCCAGAAAGCCATACTGAGAGAAAGAATCACCGCCGACGATGAAAGACTGCAAACTCAGATATATGTGAGTAAATTCCCAAACACAGAACTGCATGAGTCTGTCTGTGTTGTAAACAGCTAAGCACTTACGCTTTGTTCACACTGCACATAAATCCGATTTCCGAATCTTTAGGACTAGTGATGAAATCTGATCTCTTTGTTCAGTGATGTCAATATCCAGTCCATCTACATTGGTTGATATATTGATGACTTAAATATCAAGAGACATAAGAGAGCAACTGCCATTGTGGAAAGAGAGAAGCTCTCTGAATGATTAAAAAAATTCTTGGAATGACTGCATTTGTCTGCAATAGTTTTTTTGCTGTTCAGTTTACAAAAGACTTAACAGATTTGAGTCGACTATGCCAAAAAAATCACTTTTTTGCTGCTTTAGATTCATTTTCCTTTCAGGATAGACCTCCACTCTTTAAATAATGTTGCATCACAGGAAGTCATTTAATGTAAATTTAGCTTGGCACTGATTCTCATCCTGGCACTGAGAGCGATGTGTTTTTTTTTTTAGTATGTTTCCTTTATTTAACACTTCATTAAAAATATTGCATGATATATTCTCAAAGACATTATTTTGAGACTTATAACTTACAGTTATTTCTGGCACTTCTGTTATATTGACAAAGTTACTCAGTTTCAAACTTTTTTATTTACAGAAACTAGCAGTGGCAGTGTATTCAAATAATGGAAAAAAAAGAAAGAAAGATAAATACTAAATTAATTAAATCCCATAATTCCAGAATTTCTAATAACTATTTTACACAAGTATAATTTCGAGTATTTTTCAGTGTTTACACTTTTTGTTACCATTAAATTTAAAGGAGTTTTCAAGTTGCTGTTGCTTTATTTATTTATTTGCTCACTCACAAATAGACATTTTTCAGGAATTTATATACTAACACATGTTTTATATACTAAAACATTTTGACATAACTACAAAAATGTATATTAATTATAAAAATTCCTATAAAGATGTATTAATTTCCATGACTTTTCCACACATTTAAAATTCTCTTATACGTCCATGCTTTCCATGTTTATGAGAATCCCGGTTCATAAATAAGAATGACAGTTAATGAATTAAAATAAGAAATAAAGTGTTAGTTTACATTTAAATTTGTAGCCATTGTAACTTTAAAGCTTTATGAACCCATAACCCATAAAATAGTTTGTCTAAAAATTAGTATGTCATAATTTACTTACAGAAGAGGGCAGTGTGAACATTCATCAAAACATCTCCTTTTGTGTTCATTTGACATGAGGGAGAGTAAATGATGATGGACTTTTCATTTGAAATGAACTGTTCTTTTAAAACACACTATCATGAGTTTGAATGCCATCTTTTCTGCCTGAACTGGGCAGATGTAATGAGAGGTTGTGACTTGGTCGTGACCTTATTCCATTTATCTATCTTATTCACACCAAACAAGATATTAACACACTAACACACACAAAAATGATTACGTAAGGGCAACGAAGTGCTGCACATGCACAGAGAAATGTGCATGAACGCCTTTATTGATAAACTTTACATCATCTATGCCAATCCAAAAGGAATACCTGTGTACACACATACTAGAGTAAGGTCATTTTATTTGCAGGCGGCTAAATTGCCCCTGTAAACACATTGTAAGACGAGGGGCCCCTCCATTGCTTTTGACAGGGCACAGATTATTTGAGCATGAAGTAAAAAAAGAGGTTCCCTGGAGAACTGGAGCTGTTTACAAATGTATGGTATTGATTACATAGCTCATTTCACACAGTCATCTCTGTAATAGAAAAATGAATCATTTTTGGGATGAGGGTGAGATGTGCTGTAATTCACGGCTGGAAGGAAGGTGTGTGCGTGTGTGAGAGAGGGAGAATTGGGAAAGCATCATTGGGAACGATGGGTAAATCTAAACAATGTAAGGAGGAGGGGGCGTCTTGGGGCGCTTTGTGTGCAGGAATGTTTTCTCATGATTCCTTCATGGTGGTTTCATTTCCGCATTTGCTCTTTGAAAGATTTTAGAACACGTATAGATTTTAAACAGACCAACTGTAGCTGAAACAAACACAAATATGGATCCCAGCAGCCCAAAGAAACAATCCATTCTAATTCAATCCCTACCTACTGCAATACAGCATAATACACACAAAATCGCCAGCAGTCGTGACTCAGACCAATAATGAAGCGTACTCGAGTAACAAATTGCTGGTTTATGAGTGTTACTCAATATTATGGGTTTATCAAGAGTCAGACTGTCAGATATGGAAGCTCTTTTATTGCTGTGTCCTTCAGCTCATTGTGGGGTTACTTTTGTAGGTAGTTTTGTTTAATAGACTTCAGTTTGATATCCAGAAGTAGAACTGTAAATTCTGTTTAGTTTTCTTAGTTATCTCTGTAAAAATATCAGCATATTTTGGTTGAACAGAAAATACTATTTTCCACCATGTTTTGTCTGTCTATCTATCTATTAGATATGGATTACATATTTCATTGTGCACATGCATTTTCTTCTATTTTTTACATTTAAATGATGTGTCATCTAAGTTATTCTGTAAAAGCACTATTTAATAACATTAAGTGAAGTTGAGCAAATCTCAAAATTAATACCCATTTGTACATTTATAATGTTGCTTAAAATTGCATGAATTGGATGAATGAATTAATGTTATTTTACACAAAATATTATATAATTTAGTTTTATAATGATTAAAATATTGCATATCTAGTTTATAAGCTGATAATTAGAATTTTAATATGATATAAAAATTCTAGTTGATAAGCCTAATCCCCCCCCCCCTAATTTTTGGTGTCTTCTGCTGCTTACAGAGACTATCAAAATATTAAACAAATATTACTAACAGATTAACCAAGCATCCTTGCTTTTTATGCCAGTCATGTGATTTGTGGTTTCTGATTGGTTTCTGTCAAAACCAATGTTTCTTGGCCAAAATATGTTCAATTGTGGACCATTGTGGATGTTCAGTCAGAGGTCTGGCTATGCAAGACTTCTTAGGATCTGTAAAATTGTAAAATGTTGCACATTACCAGTTCAGGTCAGTAGTTAGTCGATCATATACAGTACTGTGATGCTTTAATTGTGTGATAAGTATTTGGCCTTGAGATATGTCTTTTCCTTTCAGTACGAAATGAACACATACACAAACGCACACACACCCACAGAGGAAAATTAGGTGGACAGGTTCTTGTCTTTTTCTCTTAACAGAAAATTTTCACTCACGGACATCATCACACACATTTCATCCCTCTCAATTTTGAGTTCTTCTTTGAGCGGAGATTCTTTAATAGAATTTGAAGGGTTATCGCCAGATTCATGCCGCTTTTTCTCATGTAATCATCTTTTCTGACAGTGCTATCATAAAAACCCTTTTCTTTTTATTTCTTTTTTTCTCCTTGAAATGATTTTTTCCTTGTGAAAGGCTGGAGACTAACCAGCCACACTTTCATTGTAATCTCTCGGTTTTCAACTACAAATGGGACTTTCTAGAGGCCTTCACACTTCACACAAGCTATGGCTAGATGTCTTTTTGCTTAGCAGCATGTGTTGGTCAATCATTTTTGCATGCAAATGGCCTCATTGCTGAATTAAAAAATTGATTTACACCAACAAAGTGAGAATATGTTTAATGAACATGACACACGCACAAGATATAGTGAGTTGATCAATACATTATTCTTTTATCACAAAGTAATGTTCAACCTGTTAGTAATTGGAAATTGAGTTTAAATTGCCTCCAAAACATCAATAAGTGTTTGAAAGTCCTTGCTGGGGTAGTACATGGTTCTGCTGCTCTCAGCACACTTTGAATAGATGGACCTTTCAAAGATGATTTGTTAAGTCCTTTGTCCTAGCTCCTTCCTCTGAGCGCGTTTCTGCCTGACTGCAAGGCGTTCAATCATTAAACATCAATCAGGCTTTTGAAATGCGTTCTTACTGCGAGTAAGAGCCGCAGTGCCGCACTTCAGGGTTTCTGCAGTTTGCTTTACAAATGCATTAGCTAGGCGGTGTACATGCTCACTCATTCACTCATGGGACATTTACACGGGCCACTGGGTTCTTACGGTATTAGTCGTGTTCTCTTGGGTTCGAGCCGTCTAAGCAGAGGCAGGTCGTATGGACAGCAGGATTTCCTTGACTTTGTCTTTAGAACTCTATTGGGCCCTAAACATCTTGATGGTTTGCTTTTGGATTTTGATAGTAACTTGTATTTAGAAGTGGAGAAAGATAAAAAAAAAAAATCTATGTCTGTCTGTCTTTATTATGTATGTTTGTATGTCTTTATTAGATATTTGCATTGAATTTACAGTATTTTGATGATGTTTTTATATAATTAAATAATTTACATATACACTACCATTCAAAAGTGTGGGTTCATTAAGATTTTTTGTAATGTTTTTGAAAGAAGTTTCTTATGTTTACCAAGGCTAATTTTATTGTTTATTTATAATTTTATTTATCAAAAGTATAGTGTCTTAATATATCACATTATTACTGTTTTTCATTTAAAATAACTGTTTAAGAGAACAGCATTTATTTGAAATGGATATTTTTTTTTGTAACACTGAGTAGTTTTTTGTGTAATTATTATTTTTTGCAGCATTATAAAATGTATGTTTTGTCACTTTTGATCAAATGAATGTGTCCTTGCTGAATAAATGTATTAATTTATTTTTAAAAAGTCTTAGTGATCCCAAACTTTTGTACAGTAGCTTATATTTTTACTATTTATTATTATTATTATTATTATTAATATTATTGTAAAAACTTCAGCTGAACTGAAAAACTGAACATTTTTGAGTGAAGATGCAAATGAAATAAGTCATAGTTTTCAGGATTCTTTGATGAATAGAAAGTGTAAAAAAAAAGTAATACTATAAATACTGTCAATTCTGATTAACTTAGTGTCCTTGATGAAAGTTATATAAATATATATATAATTTATGTATAAATAATATTTTATATATATATATATATACTGTATATATAATTTAGATATGATCTTACT